CCCCAAAACCCCAAAACCCCAAAACCCCGGGGATTTTTTGGATAATTGAATCTGATTCTATATTTAAACTATGTTTAAATTTTTCATACATCTAAGGTAGAAAATTTGTCAAAAATTTCTTTGCGCTGCTTAAGAATACTGTTGACCTTTTTATCTGAATTTCCTTGTTCCCACTTGAGTTCGAGCTCTCTCAGATTATATAGTTGAGTTACAGCTCTTAAGAGCTTTACTCAGGATCTCTGTTTTTCACAATAAATCTGCAAAATCTGGAGGTTCTCACACCATGTCTCATTATAAAGCAGCGATATCAATCTCTCAATAGAATTTGGAGAGAACAGAAGCTCACAAGCTTTCTCATGGGCAAGTGTGATAATTGGTACTTTGGAGCACGCGAATACCTCCAGCCTTTCAATGACTTTCTCACAGTTCAAGTGCTGATCGGAAAGCTCTATGTGGTATAAAGTATCTTTTGGTAGCAATTCCACCAAAAGAATGTATGAGTTAAGATCTGCATCAGAAGTATTTAATTTAACTTCACAATTCTTACAGGATTTTACAATTGGCTGTAAAGACTTCTGTGCGAAAAATGAATCCACTGCCTTTGTACACCCAGGATGAGTTGTGTCCATGACAAACTTAGAAGCATATTTTAAAGGGAAAATTAACACTTCATCTGATTTAAACTCATGATTTATAATTGAAGAATCTATACCAGGGAAATAAGTCCGCTTGATCTTATTTTGATCATCTCCTTTCATCTTTACTATAATTTTCTAATATTCAAGTTGGATAGAGTCTGTAGGTAGAAATAACCCTCATCAGAAGTAAGCACTACATCTTTATTATCAAGGTCGATTTCAAAGCTGGCTGATTCAGCCTTGAAGAAAACAAGCTCTTGCTTGCATTTGTTAAATTTTCAGAATTTTATATCTGGATTGTATGGTTTTGTGTATGATTCTGATTCCGTCCTCAGATTTGGAAGTTTAGGAACAATATTTAATAAAGGTCTGTGAGCCTCTGATCCATTCGTTTGGATCCTGATGGAGATATTAGGATTTCAATGATCAAACATTTCGAAATCAAATGTCTTAATATGATCATTTTCAAGAGTGACACCAAGAGTCTCCAGCTCGAGTCCAGCAAGCAGGTGATATTGAAGAATTAGTTGTGGTGAGTATTCTATTTGGAGTGACTTTAAGGCATTTCCCATAAATCTCAGATTAGAGAGATAGCTATAGCTTGGGCAAACCTCTTTTGGAACTATAAGACTCTCCACAGTGAGACTAGCATTTTGCAACTCTTGCAAAGCCTCATCAAATTTTGCAGGAGCAAATCCTCTGAAATACAGTTCGTTTATTCTATTTATAGAGTCTAAGAATCTGCTAAATTTCTTCTTTCTTAACTCACTGAAGTCAGGGGTCTCTAATGTAGGCCCAGATTTGAACTTGATTAACCCTTTACCCAATATATAGAGAGATTTGAGAAAGACAGGGTCTGCTTTATTGACAGAGCTGAGAAGCTTTCAGAAATCCTCCCCGTTCTCAAGTATCACCTTAGAATTTATCAGAATTTTATCCCATTGAGCTTTAGAGACAAGGTAAGTGGGCTCTATTTTGTTAAATTCTTCCTTTCGGATATTTTTGACAGAGTAAACATGTTCCTTCCTCTTTAACCTTGACCTGATTAATCTCTGAAATTCCCTGTAGCAAGCTGAGGAGGTTATCACTATTTTGATTCTGAAGAGGTCTAGAGGGATTCTCCTTAATCTTTTGAACAACTCTATTCTTTTAAGCATGGGTTTTCCTTCCTCATTAAACTCTAGGGATTTGATGTTGTTCTTCATTGCAAAAATATAAGCATCATAATTCTCCATAAGAGCTCTCCTAGTGAGCATATTAAAGCTTGACAGCAAAATAAATCCATCATGGCACTCACAATAATAAGGAAGGAGGACAGTCCAGAGGCTAAACTGGTTCAGGATGTTTATCTTCTTCAAATTTTCCATTATTTTATCTGGTAAATTCTTATATTTACACAATATTTTTCCACCCAGATTTGCCAGAAAGGGGTTTTGGGGTTTTGGGGTTTTGGGGTTTTGGGG